TTTCCCGATAGCTTTCTTGCATGCGACCAATTCTTCCATAAGGCTGTAATTAGTGTGCAAACCTGTTAATAACGAAGAGGCAAGAACGAAAAAAAAATATTAAGTGGCAAAAAGCATCAAATTATTATTATTTTTTTATTTTAAAAAAACGAGTAAATGATGAAACTTACGTCCAGATGTGTCGCATAAAACAACATCATAACCTTCTACTTTTCCTCTTTTCACAGCCTGTAAAAGAACTACTCATAAAAAAAACTTCAAAATCGCGTGTTATAGAATCAACATTTACATCATTCAAAATTTTCACGTTTTTGTATGGGCCGATATTTTTTTTTTTACCTGTAGCTGCTTTTTCGTTTTCCTTTTCAGCTACAACAATCTCACAATTCGTTCTTTCTGCCCATATCTCTAATTGATCGCTTGCAGCTGCCCTAAATGTATCTCCTGCTGCCAATAATACCTAATATACAAATATGAAATTGGAAAGAAGAAACTTGTTCCAAAATCGGAAATTTTCGAACAGGATTCGCCGGAATTCGGAATTTTCAATTTTGGTGTCACCTAAAATATAGAATACACATAATAATATCGATATTATAAGTGTCATTTTTGAAGAAAAAAAATCAAAATTTTTGGAAATTCAAATCGGACTGAAATTAAAAATTAATATTTTTTTGGAATAGTAGGAAATTGGAACTTTCGGAAATTAAGAATGAAAAATATTCTTCCAAAATCGGAAATATTCATATCAGAATCGGGAGAATTCGGAAATTCCACTTCCGATTTCCACCCCTACGCTTGTCAAACAACAACCGCAAAAACAAAATAAGCTATCCACCATGCGATTACCAAGAAAAATCGGAATATAACCTCACCTTGGTCCCTTCTTTCTTAAATCTATGCGCCAATTTTCCTGCCATTGTGAAAAAAAAATAAAAAATCCAGTAAATATCACATCACATATTAACTTTAGATACTTGATCACTAACTCCAACGCAGAAAAAAAAATAAAAATAAAATAAAAATGAAAAAGAAGAACGAGATTTTTTTTATTAAACGGGCATCATAAAGATGTACTTACCGAGGGAAGTAGTCTTACCACCCCCATTGACACCTACGATCATAATAACAGCTGGTTTCCTAGTGAAAAAATAATTATTTTAGCAACTTAATATAATATTCAAAATACATAACAATTTATTTCGAATTAATTATAACCTGAATCCCAACTGCAACTCCGTTTTAAGTCCCTTAGCCGTTAACAAATTCAATATGCTCCTCTTTAACGCATCCTAAAAACACCACCACCACAGGCTATAATTCAACTCAATTTCGATGCCGAATAACTCACATTGCACAATCGACAAAAAAAAAAAAAAAATGATACGGCGTATAGAAAATAAATTCGAACAATTACTTTGATTTCACTCCCTGATTTGAGTTTGCCAGAGTATATATCTTCTCTCAATGTATCCACGATTTGATAGTGATTCGAGGCCCAAAATCGGCAACGAGTAATGCCTGATTCATATATGTATTTAATAATTAATATAAAACAATTCAGTCCATGAATAATAAATATACATCATAGAGTATATAACAATTTCAATAAATAAAATCATATATATTTTCAAAGTTTAGGCAAGCTAATTTTGAATAAAGAAAAACACAAAATAAAATAATCAAATTATTTAAAAAAATAAACAATGAACATGTAAAAAAATGGGGAACCTCTTCGAGTTCATCCAAAACCCTATCGGTATCGGAGAGATTCCAGTAAAGGAGGAGCTCATCGATAACGGCTAAATTGTCACGTGTTTTTGAAAATCCGGAGAAGATTTTCTCCACATCGCTCTTGGCTTTTTCTTTGATTAATCGGCCGAGTTTGGTGAAGAAACCGGGTTCACCTGCGGAGCACTTGAACCGGGACATTCTGGTGGGTGAAGCATAGTGCCGGTCTAGGGGGAAGTGGAGGAGTGTGGTGGCGGAATTTGGCTTTGGCGGCGGCGGCGGTGGTTTGGAGGGGAGATGGAGGAGGCGAGAAGGCAGTGGAGAAGACATTTTTGCTTTCTGGTAGTAGTATACTACTGTGAGCTGTAATGGATATCAACAAGACCAATTTTTTAAATAATTAAATTGACTCAATTTGAATTTGTAATAGAAAAGGGATTATATAGTTTGCAATGTGATTGGAAGCCAACAAGCACCAGTGGTCTAGTGGTAGAATAGTACCCTGCCACGGTACAGACCCGGGTTCGATTCCCGGCTGGTGCATTGGCTGTGATGATATTTGCGCCACCGCATACGGTTGGGTCCGTTGCTTTCACTGATCTTCAGATGTAAAATGCGGCGCTGCTGAGCCACCTTTTTTTTTTTTTTTTATTTTTTTTTTTATATATATGGAATATTATTACTTTTGTATCCGTTTTATCCCATTCGAAATCTACATTTTGAAGCAAGATGATCATAATTCGTGTTTTTTGACTTGTAAATACCAGATTGTGGTGCATTATAACCTTACACAAAACGAGTATAAACTAGAGCACATTCCACGAAAACTAGATGATTATGTTGAATTTGACACCACAATGGTGGTGGTGTAAGAAAAAATCATAGTTCAGGGATAAATGTAATTATCCAAACAAGAGAGACTTTTTCGTAAATTGACCATATCTCAGGGATTGTAAGGTACCCTTTTTATTAATTATAATTTTTTCCACTAAAATTATATATCGCTAAATGTGCAGTAACAGGAAAAAAAAAAAAAAAAAAGTAAGCAAGTAAAAAACACCATAATGATTTACAAAAGTATATCCAAAGTCCCAAAAAATGTCATGAACACAAATGCATACATCATTGTTCCACCATATATATACGAGCTCTATAGTTATCTATGCACCACGTAACACTTTAAAGGAATCGAAAACGGTTCACGTATATAGTAGTTTCACATCTCTCGACAATTACCTACACGTGGCAAATAAACGAAAAAAATCACATTAACTATATAACAACATACACATTCAGAATATACGAGAAAGAACGAATGGTTGGCTGGCAAACGAGTGACAAGTGGGAAGCCGTTCCGTTTTTTAAGCTCACTGTGGGGTCCACTGTCCAAAATATGCAAAAGCGGGTATATAACGAGGCTGATTGATGGTTGTTTGTTCGTTTATACTTCTTCGCTGCCACTTTGGTTGCCGTTTTTCAGTATATTGAGCTTGCAGAGAGGACAGGTGGCGTTTATGTACAGCCACTTGTCTATGCATGCAGAGTGGAAATGGTGGCTGCAGGGGAGCTCACGCAGCTCTGTTCCATCATCGTACGCGCAGAGGCAAATGCAGCATTCCTGCAAATCCAATGCACGAACATTTTAGTAAGTACCGAGTTCGAAGAAACTATTTTTGTTTAAGTAGTGAACTGAGAAAACAAAATTGAAGTATAAAACGACGAATAGAGAAATCTTGAAGGCATTGTATTATAGAGTGTGAAACGGGACATACAGCGTCTTCTATAGGAAGAATATGCTCTGTGGGTGAGTCGGTGTCGCATTCAGTCATTACTCCTCTAAATGAACCTTGGATTTCGCCGTTTTGCTTCTCGAAATCACCGATTTTTTGAAACTTGTATCTAGGTAGGCTCTCGATATCTTCCTTAGTAGCTCCTTCCTGTAACAATAGTGACAATCAAGTAGAAAAATCAAAATCAAATAAGATTGCAATTAGTGTGCAATCTATACATGTATATCTTTGTCAAAGTCCCGTTTTTCTTTCTTGTTGGAGATATAAATATTAAATGATTCACCTTAACGAAAAGCCTTATTGTGATGAATTAATTAATATTTATATCTCTAATACAACCTACCTGATCCGCAACAGCGTATAAGATTGCAATAATACATGGTAGACAGCAGCAAACAGCAAGTCCAATGAGACAAGCCACAGCCACACAAATCACGACAAAGAACACATCAAATGCCAAAAACGTAATGCAAAGCCTGCAAATTAAATGAAATCAGAATACGAAAGCACGCAACTAGAAAACAGAACGTATGTTCAAATTGAAGTACAATCAGTGTACATAACATATTTATACGTACCAGTAAAGCTGAGGTGATTCAGTAGGCAAACTTTGCCCACCGGCAGATACCCAATAGAACCCGATTATCCACCAAATGAACGAGAACATAGTATTTGCAGACTCCAGATGTTTAGTCACACTGCCAAAAAAAACCACCAAGTTATTGACATCATTATAAAACTCACTAGTTCAGAAGTACGAGAAGAAAAAAAAAACGGCATTCGTATTCTGCTCTGCTTGCTCGTGTCTCTATTCTATAACACAAACATCGAAAGGTGGGATATGAATGCACTCTTGTTCAACTTTATAATGCAAATAAACGATTAGTAAAACTCATCGCACTAGTGGTTTTAGATTTTCAGAATCGCAGCAAGATTACCACCACCAAAACAAATCTACATCCTCCGATTTAGAGATAATCAAATAACTAACAATCTACAAGTGAGACTCTCGATTTACACCACCAAACATGAAATTGTTGCGGAAAAATCTCTTTCGATCAAAATCTTAGAATAACTCGATTTGATTAAGTCCGCAGATTAATTCAAGCATATATTCACATCTACAGTCATGTATCATTTTACAATCACTTGAAATGTAGACCCTTAATACTTTCAGATCCCACATTCTTTCAGACAGTTCTCGGTTTTCATTTACGGGGCGCAGACTGAATAAATCTAGTAACTAATAGATCAATCAGAATAAATACCTTAAGTCATAGCTAAAAGTATGTGCTACTGTTCTATTAGCATTGCAGAAAAAAATAGAATTAAAAAGCAAAAAAGTTCAACGATATAGACCTATTTTCATCATCATCATCACTTTGCCGGTGATCGGAGAAGTAATCACCATTATCCACGTCATCACTTCCCAAGCTGGAATTCGAGTAATTCCGGCTGTGCCGGAACTGAACTCTTTCGCCCCCTTCCGAATTCCGCTGCGAATACCTCTTCCTACACTCCGTGCACACGCACACCACGTGAAGAACGCACTGGAGGGCATAACCGACAATCCACAGCCTCAACGGCATGGACGGCCGTTCAGTTTTGCTCATGATCATCACGGAGATCGCGACCACGATGAAGGCGAGGTTCCAGACTAGGTCTAGAATCACTATCGGCTTGGAGTAGGCCCAATCGCTCTGGCGCTCCTCAATTTGCTCGGTGGCGGCTTCGCGGACGCGGACGGACGGCTCTCTCAAGGCGCGGCTCCCGGCTGCTGGCGCGGCGGAGATTTGGCGGCGCCTTGAGACTGGGAGGCCGGCGGAGAGCGGGGCGGCGGAAGCGCTGAAGATCTGGTCGCCTAGTAGCGGCGTGTGTCGACGCGGGGGTGGGGGGAGGGAGCGTTGACCGGAGGACATGGTTTTCCGATGGAAGGAGTGCTGCGACAGTGTTTTTTGCTGCTCTCTGGATTGGGCGTTGAATGTTTGATTGATTGGTTGATCAAGTGCGTGTGTGAGTGTGTGAGAGAGAAACCTCCTGTATTAATTGGGAAAATGGCACTTAACCCCCGGTGGTTTGAACTTTGTAAAATTACAGTTTTCACCCCTCAAGTTTGCATAGATTTCACATTTGGTCTCTTATGTTCACAAAAAATACATTTGGTCCCTCATGTTCCAATAATTGAACATTTTCAGTCATTTCCATCGATTTACCGTTAGGTTGTTAGTTAAGACAGTGATGGACGTACGCTTGACGCTTCGTTCTGCTAGTTTTAACGTGAAATTAACGGAAGAGAATAAAATTGACCAAATGAAAATAAATAAAATGTGCTATGTTACTAACATACAATTCAATATGATATTTTTAAGTGGGGCGTGTTAAATTCTACACTAAAATTTACTTAATCCCACATATAAATTAAAAAAAACATTCTCTCTCTACTCAAATTTTCTCTAACTTCTCTCTAAAATGATTTTATCCAAGTCACTCAAAATTCATTATTTTTTTACTTGAATAATCATAAAAAATGAACCGTTTTATTTAATATTTATTCAATTCATTAAGCATTTTTAATTATTCAAATTCATATGAATTCGATTTTTTTCCTCGAATTCCAACTTTATTTTAGTTTGAACATGTGAAGATTTTTGTCAAATTCGAACTTGGAATGCTAAGAATGTTTTTAGTGTGTGATTTTATGAAAAAGTTAGGGAAAAAAACAGAAGGATGGGAAGGAGAAAGAAGATTTTAAAGAGATAAAATATTTTTAGTTATGTGCATGATTTAGTAAAAATAGTGTGGGATTTAGCATTTCAGTATATTTATATAACAATAATAAGATATTTTGATTAAATACAAGTTACACTAGTCAATGTGTAAATAATTGAGATTTATGTATGAACTAAATGATAGTGATATACCATTATGTATTTGTAACCATTTCAATGTAGAATATATATATATATATATATATATATATATATATATATATATATATATATATATATATATTAATTATAAATATGTAATTTATTTTCTAGGACAACATTAAAATAAATTTTAAAACAAAAGTGTGTTTAAATTAAAAAATAGAAAGAAGTAAACAAACAAAATGGAAAATCAATTTCCTTTTTCGGAAAAGAAGTTGATAACAAGGAAAACAAACTTATAAAGTTAACAAACTAACTCTATTTTTTTTTTGAACATAACTAACTCTATTAACATACCTATAATTCTATCACACTACACCAAATTCTTGTTACAAACATGTATGTATAATACCATTAGAAATCATATCCAATATTTACTTCACAACAAAATCGTGGCTTAGCGTTCCGTTTCAAACGGGCTTGCTCGCTTTAAAACCGGTCAATAAACTCGTATAATAGGTCAAACGATACAATAAACTACTAATTCAAGATTCACTTCTTGGAATGTTCCGGAATGAGGCGTTGTATCAGCTCCGAAGGTGCACCAGCCAATTCTGCAAGACGAAACATTAGGGTACAATCGAAGAAAATATAATCTAGTTTATACCAAAAAAAATAAAAAAAAATAATATAATATAAAAACGCACCCTCGGGCGAAAAATCGAAGAGAGGAGGTAAGGCTCGCCCGTTGGGTAAGCATGCGTTAGGTTCTCTGAGGGAATCGAAAAACGGGTGTGCACAAGCCTCCAACTATACAAATAGACGAAAAAATAATCAAGATTTTTTTTTAAGGGGGGCCATGACCCCCACCACTTCTCGAAATTCTAGTATTTTTTTTCATAGTGAATTAATTGAGAATTTGGAGGGCATATTGCAAAAAATGAATTCTTGAAAAACGAAAGTTACATACAGCGGTGAAACGTAGAGTTGGCGAGTATTGAAGCAGCCTCGACACTAAATCCATTGCCTCGGGTGGCATTGTCCTATGAAGTACCTGAAAATAATTTAACACCATTTTTTTTTTATTTTTTTTACTTATTTTTATTTTCGATGATATAAACCGTAAATCGACAAACCTTGTGCCAAGGGTGAGCTTTAATCTGAGGAAATTTAAAATCAGTATAATTTGGATTCATGCATTTGATTTCCTCCCTAGTCGGCGTCCCCAAAACCTAATTCGCAAGCAAAAACGGAAATGAGTGAAATAAAAAATTAATAAACAAATAAAATAAAAGTTAAAAATGTTAGATAAATCGATAATTAGTATTAAACAGTACCTTAATTATTTCAACTAGCTGATCAACACTGCTCTCCCCAGGAAATAGAGGCTGTAAAAACATGTTCAATTAAGGTACAAATCAAAATATATATATATATATATATATATATATATATATATATATATATATATATATATATATATATATATATATGTATGTATTTTATACCTGACCCATAAGTAGCTCAGCCATAACACAACCAGCTGACCACAAATCGATTGCAGTCGTATATTCGGTGGCTCCAAATATCAATTCCGGTGCTCTATAATACCTTGAGCAAATATACGATATATTTGGTTCACCGGGTACCTATTAAAAAAAGGAGATTTAATTTCTCAATCATACAAATTTTCACAACTTTAATTTAAAAAAATATTTTTGTAGAAAAATGTAACATACCAATACTTTTGCACTTCCGAAATCACAAATCTTGAGCTGGTGGGTGTGTGGATTAACCTGCAGTTGCCGAAACTCTTGATTTAATCGTATAATAATAAGAAATTAATAATAAACTAAAAAAATAAAATATAAATTATACCAGTAGATTCTGTGGTTTAATGTCACGGTGACAGATACCAACAACTCTATGAATATAATTCAGCGCTCGACATATCTGCGAATTTTAAGCAATAATTTCAAATTTTCAATATTAAGAACTAAGATATATATATAAAAAAAAAAAAAATCGATAATGTACCTGATATATATATAGCTGCACGTAGAAAACGGGCATGTACTGATTGACTTTGCTGTAATGCCTCGAAGCACGATAAACAGTTTCGGACACGTATTCCAGGACAAGATTAAGGTAAACATCGTTCTTGTCTGTAGTCGAATAGAAAGAATGCTTCAACTGAACAACGTTGATATGGTTAAGCAATCGCATTATCTGCAGTTCTCGATTTTTATATCTTCGATCTTGCAGCACTTTCTTTATCGCTACCGAATCCCCGGTTTCAAGACATTTCGCCTACAACAACAACGAAAAAAATAATTAATTAATACATAAATTACGCAAAATTAAATAAGGGCCGCGTATCATTTTCTTCGAGAAAATACCTGATATACAACTCCGAAAGAACCGGTGCCTACAACTCGCTTTGCCATATACGACATTGTCTGAAGAAACAAAAAAAAAAAAAAGTAAATTATGGTATACACAGAGGGTTTTGCTA